CGGGGTTATTGGTGCATTGAATGGTTAGTTGGCGCAATGACATAGAAACCACCGCGAGAGCGCGACAAAACACGACACACAGGAAGAGACAGACGAACAGCTTTTTTTTTTTTACTAGCAAACGCTGCCTGCGTCGGCCTTGTGAGGCGAGAGAGGGGGTGGAGCGATAGCTGGCACGAGACGCGAGCATGCGCAGTGAGAGTTTCGAAGGCGCCACCGCCGACGCCAAAGCGCGACATGCTCCGCATTTAAGACAGGAAGCGCGATGTGTGTCGATATCACTCACCACTGGCCTCTAATCTCACTTTCTTCCTCCATTATGCACGCTCGCCCTTCATTCCCTCGGTCAGAGCTCGTGTGAAGCAAGGGCATGGACGTGCAGTGCTAGCGTGTTCACTGCGGCTGGCTTCCCCTTTCGTGACGGGACTGCAGGCGTTCGGCTTGGCTCAGGACGCTTGCAGTGCACACGGTGGTGTGCGTAGCAATCGATTGCTGGCAGCTTCCTGTTTTTTAGGGGCGAAGATCCGTAAGCCGTGAGTCGTGCGTCCACGATGTACGTAGTAGTAGCAGCAGTAGTGCGTCGTAGTAGTAGTTAGAAACCTCCAAGGCCGGACTAGAGGAGCGACGCGCGCACTCTTTTGAATTGAGGAGGAAACCCGCGCACGATAATCATAAATAAAAAGATAGTTGTTTCTGATTAAATAACCTACACATACGAGTATCGGTGACTTCATCTCCAATAAAATTTGCCTTCAATTTGATGTTTAAACCGAAGGACGCACTTTGAGCACTATCTGACCAGAAAGAATTGCCACGTTAAGCTCGGTGGGCGTGACCTCCTTGGTTTTAGCAGGTGGCATGAAGTAGCGGCGGTTAAAGGTGGCATGGGAACTAGACATGAAGCGCAGGCTGTTAGAAAGTGCGCGCGTGCCTCTCTTCTGGTCCGGGTGTGCCACCTGTCGTTTAGTCCTTGGAATGTCTGCTGGATGGCGGTATATGATGTGTAGCCGAGTGGGGCGAAGCGCCCATGCAACCGGGAGTGAACTCAGACAGCGTCTCCAGGCATAGTCAGTAGTTTTATTCCTGTCTCGAGAATATATAAGAATGTGGGAGGAGGAGCAGAAGAAAGATTACATGACGCATGGGCGGCTACCGCATGCCACTCAAATGACGTAAGAGTGGTAGCATGATGAATATTTCACGGAAAGATGCGAAATGGCGGTACTTGAAGTGTTCACTAGATGGACGGATGGATGGACAGTTACACGGACGGACGAACAGACAGATGCACTATTGAATGGACGCATGGATGGATGTATAGACGCGCCGACGGACGCATGAATGAATGGATGGTCGCACGGACAGGCGCATGGACGCACGGACGGATGCATGGACGGACGGATGGATAGACAAACGCACGGACGATCGGACAAACGGACGCACGGACGGACGGAAGCGCGGATGGACTGACGGATGCTTCGCCCCACTCATCATCATCATGCACTCCGTGGATATGCTGTGACTTGTTTTTTTCAACCACTTTGGTAGTTTGCGTGGTAATATTTAAGGCACATTACATTGCTACATCTGCAGATGGCGAAAACTTACACAGTTGGCGTGGTCTCAACATGAATCTGCACTCAGACTTTGCATTAGGTAGTATTGCAATCGTCAGTAAAATTCTATACACTTCGTCGAGGAGGCTTTTGTGCTAGCTCTATAGACGTTTTAGAGACTGCAAGAGTTGTACCCTAAAAAAAGTTCCGGTTACCTCATTTACAAGCTCCTAACGTCGAAATGAAAGTACGTTTTCAAGTTCTTTTCAAGAATAATGAAAGTATTTATCTAGTTTTTCTGATAAAAGGAAAGTGTGCAAAGTTTAAGGAAATTTCCTGTAATTTTTCTATAGCTCAAAAGAACATTTACTTGAATAAATAGTTTACCAAATACTGAGAGAAGGAAACTAGAATATCAATGGGTTATCTTCTAAAGCTCTTTTTGCCCACCAATGCTATTAAGGCCCATGGGTGAAAGAAACCGGATGCCATCAAGGGCCTGGTGCTGCTGAAAAGTTCGCCGCATGAGATAAGAACATAATATCTTTTAGCGGGACGGCTCAGCGCTCTCCCATATAGTTGATCGAGTACGGAGTACTCGAAATCGTTAAACATTTTTTTTCTAAACACGTGTTTGTAAACATAAGGCAGTCAGGAAATATTCTTTTCCCTTAGTTTCCTATATCTCAGTAAATGTTAAGCGAGCTATACATGGCACCCTTAGATGTTGGTGCGCCCGTGTTCATACGCGGTGGCTTATCTTTTCCACTACGAAAATCGGTGACTCGAGCGTGTCTCGGCGTGGTGACCGGGTTCAGTCGTGAGGCTTTGTAAGTTCTATAGGCCAGGTTCATATCTTGCGCTGTACTGTATCGGCAACTGTGCTTCACTTGTTCCACATTGCCTCATATTTTCGTTCATACCTCATTCTCCCGATCTGGTAAAGGTTCGGGGGCCTAGCTACACAGCGGGGCCCGGACTGAGGGGTCTGGGTAATATGTGTCTTACTGTAAAGGGGAGAGAAAAGAATAATGAAGTTTACATTGTGACAGCTTCGTCTGATATACAGTGCAAGGAAATCACAGTTCATCCAGGGGGTGTCAATGACCGCTTGCATTTGAAGATTAGAATTGCTCATTTATGCGCTGTTTGCTCTTGATGTGCACAAAACACGTCTCGATTTAGAACCGCCCTGGCGTGCCCTGTATACCGTAATATTCTTACATGAGCATACAGGCGTACATGTTTTGATGCATGGTCCCACGACATAACCATCTGTAGGGCTAAGGATATATAAGATATTGTGGGTCATTATGTGGGCGTACACTACAACGCACAGCTTTTCAACTAAGAACCTGTAGCACGGTGCAGGATTATGGGTACAAAGAATAAAGGTCAGTATGAGACATGCAAAGGCTTTCTTTGGCAATTGTAATCTGAATCGCGTACGCACATTTGTTTCGAGAGATGCCTATGACAATGCTCATTCTTTAGTTTGTTTCCTTTTACTTGCCCCGATGGTACCGGTCGTGGCTGACGTACCCACTGCGACAGGAATCGGTGGCCTTTCTCCGACGAAGATTCAGCGCCTCCCCCTCGATATGTGCCGGCGGCCGCTTACAAACGCAGAGCCCGCATTCTTGCACGTTGAGGCCTGGATTCTCTATCCCGGCCCCCTTTTTTATATTTCACTCGGTTTCCAACAGCCACCTCGCGACGGCAAGTCGGATCGCTCATCTCGCTCGGCGGCGAGATCTTTTCTGTTTTTCGTGTGCGGAGGATTGCGGTGGCGGCGGACTTCTTCGCCGGCATGGGCCGTAGTCGTGCCCACGCATTGCCATCAACTCGTGCTCGCTGGGCCGCACCGACGAAACGCTTGCGTGGTGTGTGCGCCCGCGGATGAGTAACGGCGCCCGCCGCCGCCCGAGACACTGGTAACCTTTGTGCACCTATTCTTTACCGTCGCTTCCCGTCTTTTTCACGTCTTTCTTTCCTTCCTTCTTTCTTTCTTTCTTTCTTTCTTTCTTTCTTTCTTTCTTTCTTTCTTTCTTTCTTTTTCGACAGACACGTTTCTGTCTCTCCTTTGTTCTACAAGTGATTCATTTCAGGAACCCATTATGACTGTGAGAATGACACCTGTAACTTCTTTCGGTGTTTTTCGGTAGGTGGCTTATAAAGAATGACGAGGCAGCTGCTGGGAAGCGTGGATGGAGGTAATCACGGTTAACGATAGAGTTTTCTCTTCATAGAGCAACTTAGCATGTACTTTGCTTCGCGCGATGCACGGAGGAATGAAGACAGCATTATTTAACGGCCTAGCATTCTTCTATAGTAGCTCTCGTGGAGTGGGGCCATATGGTGATCATTTTTTATCCGCAAGGGAATCTTTTCCTTGGGTATATCGTCCTGAATACCACAATCAACGCTTTTTATAATCCGTATCAGTTCAAGAAATAGACGGATGGAATACAGATGTCTCGTGCCATTAGCTGCCTCAGGCAGCCAATAGCTGTCGAACTAGCGCCATCGTTCTGGAGGTTTTCAAAAGACTTGTACCGGTATGCCCCAAGGCCACACTTCATTTGCCGGCTCTTTGGACTCCCGAGAAAGGCGTCAATGCAGGCCTCTGCGATTGCTACTGGCGCGCGGTTGGCATTTTCAAAGGTCAACGACCACCAGTATTTATTTCGACGACCGCCACTGGAGGTGCTGTTCGGATCCGGAAAACTTCAATCACGGTGAATTTCTTGATAGTTCGGTGAGGCTTCCTCCGCGAATATATGTGGATGAGGGAATATCATATTGTGTATGTTGTCACATTAAGAAAAATGGCTTCACGATCTGCCACAGAGTCGGAAGCTATCGCATGTAACTCTACGGACATCTCTAAGCTTCTATGACATTGATAAGTTCTGGCACATTAAAATTTACATGAATAATTATCGTCAATTGAGAATTTGGGTATAATTCTTGTTTGGGTTAGACGTTTCGTGTGAAGCATAAATTTGAGATTTCAATGTTATTTTGGGTTCCTGCAACAAATCACATTGATTAAAACTCATCAGAACGGCGTAGCGGCAGGAGCAACTGGTCCGTTACTTTTATCGGTAACGGTAACGCGTTACCTTTTTTGGGAAGTAACGTATAGTGGTAGTGCGTTCCTTTTTACTTGAGTAACGAATAACGTATTTAGTCACTTTTTTCGGCAACGTGTACAAAACTGACCTTAACGAGGACTGATAAAAGACGACACACATGGAATTGTATTGCAGCACTGCGTGTGTATATTAATTTTCAGGTTATGTATGCCCAAACTTACTTCGGTGATTACGTACACCTGAAACGACAATGGTACAACGACGATTGCTCTGTTTATCTTTGAGTGCTTTTCTTTGGATATCTTTTTAGAGAATGCGCTCATTTCTTCGCATTCACTCATTTCAGGCCGTGAAGTTCACTCTCCTTACGGAGTGCAAGTGTCACGGCGTCTCTGGCTCCTGCTCTCTTAAGACGTGCTGGAAGCGGTTACCCCAGTTCAGCTACATCGGCGACTACCTGGTCGAACGGTACCGGCGCGCCAAGCGGACGCTTCCCTACTACGGTCGCTCCAGGGCAGCGTTGGACCCGAACCGGCGCAGGCCTGTACATCTGAAGCTGCACGAGAAGCACTTGCGACCGCCTACGGTGACTGCGGCTCCGCCGGGCAGAAAAAAGAAGAGGAAGACGAAAAAGACGTCGTCTTCCAAGAGACGCGCGTCATCAACGAGTGTCTTCTTCGAAGACGAACCGCAGGACTCGTACGAGCTGCCCTGGGCAGACGTCGTGGTGCGGCCCAAGCCGCGCGACCTGGTCTTCCTGGAGGACTCGCCGAACTATTGCGTGCGCGACTTGGAGCGTGGCTCATCCGGCACCGTGGGTCGCATCTGCAACCGGACCTCGACGGGCCCCGACAGCTGCCGCTTTCTTTGCTGCGGTCGTGGATTCGAGACCCACTATCGAACCAGGACTCAGCAGTGTCACTGCAAGTTCCATTGGTGCTGCTTTGTGCGGTGTCAGACGTGTGCGGAGAAAGTGCGCGAGAGTATATGCAAGTGACGTATACGCAAGTGACGTGAAAGCACTGTCGTTGTGCGAACAATTTTAACCAAGGTTGAAGGGGCCGGCTTTTCACCGAATTGATGGAAGCTATCGACTCCTGCACTGCATGGCACAAGGCATTGTGTGTTAGATGAATCCTGGCCAGCACGTGTAGCATGCTGTCTGCCTAGTATAACACGTAGACTTGATAGCTTGCTGCAGCTTCAGCTGAAGCACCCGTTGACTCAACCCAAACGACTGTGTGTTCAGTGAGTGGCTTTTTTCTTGGCTTGCAGTTGTAATTGGAGTTTGCGTGTTTGGCTTTCGAGGATGTTCGCATGTTGACTGCGTAGTGTTTGCGCGACGTGTGCTTCAGATCGTGGAATTCTAGTTTCTACGTCCGCATACATTCCATGGCACTGTCATCGTTTTGGTAGACGCACAACACTTTCCGCGAACATCGTGATACATTTACGGAGTCTTATAGCCACACCCAGGGCATGTTGGTACAACCACTGAGGCACGAAATTATCGCGCATATTTAAAAGCATATCAGAAAACATTGCCCACTGTATAGAGGCTTCGGGCTGGCGACTGTGGCAGCGGTTGCACCAAGAAGTACAGTATATATATTTTTCACACGCCTATTTCGTTAGGCACTTAGCTCGGCTGCTTACTAAACATCCCTGAAAATAGACATTTAGAGGACATGTTTTGCGGTTGCTGGCGCATTCAACTCTTGAATAACTTGTGAACCCACTGCTTTCTAGATGTGTAGCTTACCGCTGTTGTAGACTGTCCGCATTCACGCACTCCGTAGACAGCATGTGCGGTCTGCTCATTGGAGTATAACTGCCGATGCCCGCAGTCATCATTCTATTCAGAAGAGCCACATTAGATGTGATATTTGTTGTGTTCACTTTGTCTGCAACCGGCTGTTATGTCTGAGAGATGATTGTGGTAATTTCGAAGCGTTTTCGTGCCGCGGGCTCCCTAATTGAACTAAAGAGGCTGAGCAAACATTTTCTATATATCTCCTCGTTGCGCTGTTTGCCGTTTAGTTGTGCGCGAATGTAGCGGAGACAGCAACGGAGCCCGCCTTGAGCGCTGCGAGGACGAAGCGGAAAAGCCGCCCAACGTGCTAGGGATATTAGCGTCACGGTATGTGGATATTGTCATGTGACGACCGCGCACAATTGAAGCCTAATTGTGCTGCTTGATTTGTCAATGATGGCGAGGTTTTACAAAAAAAAATGCATTTCGTTTATGCCTAGATCTGATGTTTGGGTGTTTATACGCGAAAGCGCTAGCGAATGCTAGCGTTTATTTTGAAAATCTTTTTTTTTATCGCGCATTAGGTTGAAGAATGTAGAGCGTTATACGTTAGCGTGATAGGCATTACACAGGTAATATATTCACAATATTTTTTTTTCTTATTGCTCATTAAAGCCCAACTTTCTCGCCTTGTGCAAATGTGTTGTTTCAAGCTTTGTATGCGATTCTCACGTGGCCATCAACGAATAAAAAAACATGTTTTATAGAGGTCTTGTCGGTGAAGTATGGTATTCAGGTAAGGTATTCAGCTATTCAGCGGGTGACTTTGGGAGCCACATAATGAAGTGAGAATATTATGTGTTTCATTCTTTTTTTTTTGTTTGTAAGCTTATACTCGTGTCACACGGCCACCACCAAACTGCATGTTGAACTTGGTCACGGCAATGACAAGGTTCTAATAGTTGCCGCGAGGTGCTCAGCCGGCGCTGTTAGATGTTCGCAAAATTAGCCCAATTTTATCTCTATAGTTGCTTTTTGTCATTCTTCGTTATGCCTTAGTAAGCCTGAAGCGAACGAAGGATTAAAAATTATCTCAAATAAAACGCATTCGCTAAACGTTGCGATGCTGGCAGCGATGGTGTCCACTTTGATCCGAAAGCTACTTTTGTTTACAGTTGTATCGTGCTAGACAACTAGTTGTTTGTGTACGAAAGTTCCTGAGACTTTCCTTGTCTGGTGAGCGCACATTTTATCTTTTGTATACTGTGCTGTGTCTTCAGCAGGAGACTGTGATGTAGCGCTTTCGGTCATTCCTCTCACGGGCAAACGCAAACACGGCGACAACAACCGTACGCACAGACGAAATATCCCGGCCCGCGACTCGCGAGGCATGGACCCCAAGGCGTGGAGAGCATCGGTGTAGAGAATAGCTGCACTATGGCGGGTGTATACGCATATGTGTGAAGGAAAACACGTTGGAAATTAGTACTGCAACGAAAGAACGTTTAGTATTGCCCGAATGTATTATTGTTTTCACTGCGGCAATTGAGTGCTCGAATTTTGTTTTTCTGACCTGCAGACTACTGGGTACGAGAGTTCCTCGTTCCGCTGCAAAGGAAGATTGACAAACGTCCTTTTGCGAAATGCTCCGTTCACCTTCGTCTGCGCAAGGGTGGCTGTGTGGCACGACCACATCTCCCTTGTCGTAAGGGTGACGGAGTTAAACGGTGGTCGCGGGTGCCCTTGTGAGAGGGGTTTTAGACTGACAAAGTGTGCCGCCGGCTGTTATTTCCTATGTCACGTGCACGAGTACCGGGGTTTTGAAAGAACTTTTGAACAGTTCGACACAAACTGAAATCGAGGCCTCGTCGACGTCAACAGCGAGACGTTCCTTGAGGAGACCCTGTTACGGTTACGGTTGAAACGAGAACGAATACATTTGGCTATATTATGAGTTTTTCTTCTTTATTGCATTAACGCAGTAATATTTATAGTAATTTGCGATAATGGAAATTCTTTTTTTTTATTCTGCCTAGGTCGACGCTGGCAAAAAAAAGGGGGGGTAGAGTGCAGCTATATTAAAGAAAACTGCCGGAAGCAGGTCTTGTTTAGTTCCATCGGCATACCTTCCTGCGCTCCTGCTGGTGATTTCCGGCATGCATTTTTTTTAAGTCACCGTGGTAGTACGCTTTAAGATTTTTCAGGAGGAAGGAGAAAGGATGAATCAAGAGGGAGGGAAAAAATTAAAGGCAGTGAGGTCAACCAGACGTGCGTCCGGCTTGCTACACCGCGCTCTTCGTGAAGTCACGATTGTATATAGTCAGGAAACGAGACATTTTTCGTCTTGTGTCCTGGACACAGCCGGCATTTAAGTAGGACCTTATTAAGAGTGTGCACTGGGGGAAGCTTTCTTGAATTGTTCAAGAGCTGTTACATGCCATCTACTGGGGCTTGCAGCAAACCAGGTGACAGCGATGTCATAGAGTGTGTATCCAAAGATGGCTAGTGAACCTCAGGAAGAGCGACTATGTTGCGTTTCAGCACTTTTTTTTTTAAAGAAAAAGCTCTCTGCTCAGTTCATAGTGTCAGGGAAAAGAAAGAACAGAAAAGTGGTATTGACTTGTCCAGGCACACGTGCTTGAAGTTATTGTTTGTAGTGACATACAGTGGCGCTTTCTGTTTGCGGGCAACTTCTGCTTACTAACGGCGAGTGAATACGGTAGGTAGAGACACCCCTGCCCTGCTCGCCGTTTCCGCTCAAGAATTGGGCAGAATAGTGATCACTCTTAGATGGATGAGACCGTCTAAAGCATTCGTGATTGTGGCGTTTATTTTCAAGTGTAAATTTGATGAAGTCTTGTAACCGCTTTTAGAGAGGCTCACAGGCGTATTCGTCCCCACAAAGAAGTTTTCAACGGAATCAATTTTGCATCTTGAATGGTACATAATGCCTGTTTTGTTAAATGGTCATACTTCATTATAAACAGGGGATTTTAAGACTGATATGCCCTAAAACCAACTGAAAGCCCTTACTGTAACACATCGCGATGACATGCCATGGCTTCTTTCTGGGAATCTCTCGTGTCTAAAAGAGGGGATGCCTTTTTGTTGCAGGTCTGTGAGCAAAGAGCAAATTACCCCGAAAGCATGCCGCTTGACTAGTTCCCATGTAACTAAAAGACCCAGAGATAGAAGCGCCGATGGTTTTCGATGAGCTAACTATCGCGGAAAGGAGACGTGTATAACCCTAACAGGCTATTTATATAAGCGCTCCAGGCGACGCAATAACAGCGGCGATATTTTTACGCTAGTATCGATTATGTAATTTTCCCACGGGCGGTCCATCTACGTGCATACAGGCCGGTAGCTGGTATCGTTTATGGCTGACTGACACGAAAGCCCGCCATTCGGAATGCCCACGGGAGCTTCAATGTGGCGGAACGAACGCGGGAATCCCATGCTTACTCTGACCAACGCTCTTCATATATGCGATGCGGTCGGGGCGATTAGGTACTTCCGTTGTATTAGCTATAACTACCTTCCCAAGCCCTCCTACGTTTGCGGGTGCACAGTTGTATACAGTGTTTAACGTGAGGCAAAGCGCAGACATTGAGGCCAACGAACGCTATTAACAATGAGCGAGGGATTGAAGGCACGCGTGGCCGCACAGCTCTATGTGGGCTTTTCGGAAGTTAGCACACACCATACAATAAAATATAACAGGAATAATAATAATAATAATAATAATAATAATAATAATAATAATAATAATAATTGGGGTTTAACTTCAAAAACCACGATGTGATTATGAGAGGGCTCCGGAAATTTTGATCACCTGGTGCTGTTTAACGTGCACATAGGTCTAAGTACACGGGGCTGAAACATTTCAGCTTCCATAAAAAAGACATGTCGTTTGTTATTTATATTTGTTAGTTCTCGTTGCCCCAGTAAACTCGGTCTCCGAGGGAGTTTGACTTCACGAAGAGCTTAATGACAGCATGTCAGTACGACTTCAGTGTTCAACGCTGGGCGCCGTTGTAAGAACGTAGCACGTGTAGTTAATTTTACCATTCGTTTTCTTTCCTTTTTTTTTTTTGGTGGAGTGTAGGAATGCAGGTTAATTATTCAGGAAACCAAGGAATCCTCATCATTGCCAGATGCGATTCGGAAATCGAACTATGTACCCTACTTGCGAAATGCTAGTGCAGGTGACCAAGCACGAGATTATATATTCACTAAAAACGTCGAAGTTGGTCCTGATGGATGTGCATAGACTCACCCTTTGCAGTAACTCGACTCATCTGCCCCAATTTTCGCGGTGCATCATGTTACACATGGGTTCCTATAGCTGAACTGGTTGGTTAATGAACATTAGGCCAGAACAGTGCACGCTACAATGCAGCGAAACACACAGGAGAGTGCTATTTTTTCTTCATTTCCTTTATTTTTTTCAATAGTGAGTGCAAGGGTGCAAGAGAGCAATAAAAAAATACACAATATCCCACAAATGGGAATCATGTGTAGATGCGAAGCAGCGGGCGCTAACGCTTACACTGGCGGCGACGTTGTCGCTGCCCCTCATCGCAGCGTTGCGCTGGAGAGAAACCTGGGGAAGCCCAAAGCGCCCAGTTATGGACCGCTGTTTCCTACTGGAACATGCCAATAGGGCAGTGAGAGACAGATGACTCCGATTGGTCACAGAGACACGCAGTCCGCATTTAGTTAACGCGCACGCTGCGAATTCGTCTTGATCAACAACGCACAGGAAAAAAATCTCCCACCGCCACTACCACGGAGGTGGTAGTGGTTAGAAGATGAGAAAAAGGCACCTGATTTCTGCAACCCGGTCGGGAGCACGGCGCAGTGCCTACCACGGAGGTCAAGGTATACAGTGCCTATACATATACGGGGTGGTGAGTGAACGGTTGTGCAGCGCGAAGTTTTTTTTTTAATCAAGAAACTCGTTAGCAGACCGTACCTGCGTCAGCGTTGCGAGGCGCCCCGCCGCGGTGGTCTAGTGGCTATAGGTACTCGGCTGCTGACCCGCAGGTCGCGGGTTCGAATCCCGGCTGTGGGGGCTGCATTTCCGATGGAGGCGGAAACGTTGTCGGCCCGTGTGCTTAGATTTGGGTGCACGTTAAAGAACCCCAGGTGGTTGAAATTTCCGGAGCCCTCCACTACGGCGTCTCTCATAATGATATAGTGGTTTAGGGACGTTAAACCCCACAAATCAATCAGCGTTTCGAGGCGAGAAAGGAGGAGTATAGGAGAGGAGAGAGAGGGGGAGGCGACGCACATGCGCAATGGGGGTGTAAACGTCGCAGGGAGGATAGCCCAGAGGAAAGAGAAAGGGAGGGAGTGTAGGTTAGCAGGCGCTCTCTGCGCCGGTGTTGCGAGGCGAAGTGGGAGGAGTGTAGGAGAGGAGAGAGGGGGGAGAGGTCACGCATGCGCAGTAAGGGTGGTAACGCGGCACACCAGACTGAGCTCGACCTTAAGCTGCTTCGCATCTAAA